GACAGACACCAGCATTTCTTCTGATGGGCCGACATCCAAGAACAAAGTTACCTGAATTGTCACAACCAACCCACGGTGATGAGGAAACCAGAGACAGAGATCAACTGATGAAATTCAAGAGCAAACAGTATGCAGATGCTTCAAGAAATGCTAAGATGAGTGAGGTGAAACAAGGTGACCTTGTTCTCTTGAAACAGGATAAGAAGAACAAACTGTCCCCCACATTTGAACCTCAGCTGTACAAAGTGAAAGAGAAGAAAGGAAATCAGGTTGTTGTGTCTGATAGCGACAATCCCGCGAAGGTTTTGCACCGAAACACAACTGAAGTCAAGCAGTACCACCCTACTGATGATCAGCTCAGTGATACGAAGGTTAATCAGGAGAAAAACACCACTCCCGCTTCAGTGGAGATGGACACAGCAGTCGAATCATTTAGTACTGATTTCCAGGAAGGTTCACCAAGGCGTTATCCGCAGAGGATTCGCAAACCACCTGACAGATTGAATTTATAGAGACATTGAACACTTCAAGGACTATTCACATGGACATAATGTTTGTTTGTTTTGTACCAAGTTTTGTACTCAATGAACGATTTTCTTTGTGACCGTTTATAGTTTTACTCTTTGTTTATATTTCTAAGGAAGGAAGGGATGTAATGACGTGATCATTTTTATATATCACGTGACCTTGTAGGAGCACATGTTTCTGTAGTACCGTGTGTTCGACACAGTTCTTCTGATTAAATTCGATTCGAAGATGTTATAGTAATCACTGCGAAGAGGACGATAGCAAATGTGCCGATCACTGTAGGGTCTTTGCACTGAGCCATGCTGGTGACACTGACGCTCAGAAAGTATGCAGTCACAGTCACAACGTGAAGTGTGAAGATTGTGAGAAGCTGAAGAGTGTTCTTGAAGAAGTAAAAGGCGCTATTTGTGAGTGCACAATGCAATTGGGTAGGTTTCAAGCGGAAGACTATCTGTATGAAGCAAGCAGAATGGTTTCCCAAGAGGGAAATCAATTGGCATGTGAGTAGCGTTGTTGTAAGACAGGAGGAAAGCTTGGAAGTAACCTGATACGCACACCTTAACAGCTGTAAACAAGACTGGTTTTCAGTGCTGTCAGTCCTAGAAAATATCTTTTTCACCATAAATTTACGAAATTCAAGAATAAAAAAGGCCTTTCTAAGATCGGATGAAGCAGGTTGCTATCACAACAGTAAGCTGGTACCATCTCTACGAGGGCTTGGATATCAAGATTGCCACTTTCAGCAACTTACACAAGAGGGCCTGCGCGTTTGAATAGCGTTTAATGTTGGGCCTGGAAAGTTTATTCGGTAAAATTAAATTGCAATTTTCCCACAGAAAAAAGACGGATCTGGAGGAGATTCCATTTTTCCCCACTACTGCTCGACAAACTGCATCAGCAGTAGAAAGCAATGATGGCCACGACGGTAGTTCCTATCAATGCCCTGAACCTGGTTGCGATGAAGATTTTAAGACCCAGGCCGACTTTGACCTCCATATGAACAAGCCAGTTCATCATGTAAGTCCTGTGCCTGCGAGCATGACTTAAAGTCTTTATTACAAAGTGAAGAGGTAGTGGGTTCATCACTTTCAGTCATTGTCACTAGAGGGTGAAAGTTCGACTTAACTGGTTGCAGTGGCCACAGAACCCTTGACAAGTACATCAAAGCTTCCCATGGGATGGGCTCTTCATAAGAGAGGTGCAAGTGAATGGCTTTCGCAAAACGTCAGGCAGCACTTGAAACAGAAATTTAATATCGGATGAGACACTGGCAGAAACCAAACCCAGAGAAAGTAGCAAAGGATATGCGAACTGCTCGCACAATAGATGGAGAGAGAATGTTCGATAGAACAGAGTGGTTATCCAACATACAGATTCAGGGTCTCTTCTCGAGATTGTGCCTTGAACAGCGATCTAAAATACAACAAGAATTGGATGATGCCACCGACGCAGACGACCACTTGATAGAAGCATCCGCGTCTGATGTAGACGAAGGGTGTATAAGAGAGGCGAGGAACACAGTAATAGATGAGATAG